GAGCCGAAACAATGCGCGCACACACGGGAGACCAGCCCCGGCGGGTCCGAGGGCGCGGGGCGCGGAGCCCGCTGGGCACGGCCACGCCGCGGGATGCTCGGGAGCGGGAGGGAGCCTGGACCGAGGCTCCGGGGCAGGTTTGCGGGCGGGAGAAGGCTGCCGAGAAGTTAGGAGCGAGGAGCCGCCGCAGGTGTTTTTAGTTGGTTTGGTTGAAGCAGCTGAGTTTGGGCCGATGCGCTAGGTTCCATTACTCGCCAACACCTGAGCGCTTTCCGCAGCCAGCTCCCGCCTGAGTACCTTCGCGTATTCATATGCAAACTTGACATCAATTCTGTGCTGTGGGTACTGATGGGGACGTGGGGCACAGAGCAGGAAAGTAATGCTTATGGACACACGGAAAAAGAAACGAGGTGGAAAATGGGATCGGGATTCAAACACAGAGTTTCTGATTCTAGGACCCACCAGCCCCAACCAGTATACAACCCTGCCTCTGACAGCAGGCGCTTACACGGTTTGATAAGGCGTGGCTGCCTTGTGAGTAGGCCCTGTGTAAAAGTATTCTGTATCTGAGAGTCATGCTGAGTAGACGTTAGCTGTTCTTGACACCCCCAACACGCAGACCAGTAACTGAGATGATGGCTGTGATCATTTGCTTTATTAACCTTTTTACTGTCTCGTGGATCGTATCCCGTAACATGTTGTATATTTAAATATACACAATCAAATGTATTTATTCGTTTACTTATTTTTAGAGGGATTTTTGCTATAGGAGCGTGTGCTCCCTGTAGAGAAATAAAGAGACAGAAAGTGAAAAATCACTCCCCGGGGGTGGGGGGTGGGGGAAATGACTGACCCCAATCTCTTCACCTCCATTCTCCTCTCCAGATCTTGGGCCCGGTCATGAGTTTTTTTGTTTGTTTGCTTTAAAGAATTATTTAACTTTATTTATTTATTTTTATTTCACCAGAGAGAGAGAGAGAGAGAAAGTGAGAAAGCAAGCTGCCAGGTCCCAGACTCGAACCATGGTCAGCCATGTGGGACTCCAGTGCCCTTAAATACCACAGTGAGTTTTTTTTTTTTTTTTTTTTCCTTCTTGAGAGGATTTTTGCTATGGGTCTTGTGCACTCGTCAGAGATAGAGAGACAGAAAGCAAGAAATACCCTGGGGCGGGGGGGTGGCCACGGCCAATCCCTTGTCCTCCATTCTCTCGGGATCTTGGGCTCACATGCACACACATTGGCGTGAGTTTAAGCCACCGGGTCCAGGACTCGAACTGGTTGACTACATGGGAGTCCAGCGATATAGCCATTACACCAACTGCTGTCCCCCAAGTACCACAGTGAGTTTTAAACTGCCAGGTCAGGCACTTAAACTGTGGTGGACTACATGGGAGTCCAGCGATTTAACCATTATGCCATCTGCTGGTCCCATAATCAAACGTATTTTTTTTTTAATTTAAATTAAAAACAGAACCCCACCAGGGAAAAACAACAACAAAAAAGCTGAAAGCAATTAAAGTTCCTACCTCAGATTTTCAATCAGATGCTAAAGGAAGAACGCACACAATACACAGCAATGTCCTAAACTTCCTTTTTTTCTCATCTCTTATCATTTCCTATTTCCCACAAAGACTTACCTCAACCTTCCCCAAAAGATGTAAGCATGCTTCTCTATCTTCTTATTCACTTAAGCTTTCTTTTGAGACATACTTATTTACCTTTTTAGAAACAAACTGTCGCTATTCCTTCCGGTTTCTGCTTCTTACATTTTCCTTCTCACTGCTTTTTACCTCTCTGTGTATGATTTTTTAAATCAAAGTTTTTACAATAGGGCACATGCACTCATTGGAGAGGACAGAGACAGTGAGAGGGAACGTGAGAAATCAAACGCCCTCCCAGGGGGATGGTCAAGCCATGGGGCATGTATGCACATGTGTCTGGCATGATTTTCAAGCTGCCAGGTCCGGGATTTAACCCGTAGTTGGTCGTATAGGAGTCCAGTGCCTTAACCACTATGCCACCTGCTGGTCCCTATAACCTCTATTTTATAGTAAGTGAAGAGTATTTAGAACAGGAGGGGATGATAGCTGGGAACGAAGAAAAGAGACCATCAATATTTACGTTAATATTTTTCTTTTTCACATCCATAACATAGGCTTGTAAATGTTTCTGTTATGGATGGATCTGAAACAAAGCTGGAAAAGTTTGGATAACACACTGAGTTTTTCATAAAGCCCAAAGAATGGAAAGAACTGTGCTTTATTCTGATGGTATGGTGCAAAGATGGTAGTTATTTTCTAATGTCTTTATGGCAAAAGATTAAGGAGATAAAAGTTGTAAACATAATCTTTTTTTGTTTTTAGAGAGAGAAAGAGATTTTTGCTATAGGGCACATGCGCTTGCCAGAGAGACAGAGACAGAAAGCAAGAAATCACCCTCTCCCTAGGGGGGGATGGCCTCACCACAATCCCTTCTCTATCTTCCTCTATGGGATTATTGGGCTGCGTCTGGGATTATGAACCACGGTTGACTACGTGGGAGTCCAGCAACCTAACTGTTATGCC